TTGTTTTATCTGCACAAATTTGGTGTCGCAGTCAAAGGGGGATGCCAAAGGTCTCTTTAAACAAAATATTTCCCTTTGATTGAGCTTTTTGTTTTAAAAACAGAATTGCTCTTCAACCCCCTGCAGACTCCTACAAGGCTCTGARCTGACAGATGTAGGTGGGGGGTGGTGAGAGAGAGCTCCCTATATATGTTTTACCTCACAGGGAAAATGAACTTCCCCGGCAGACTCTAACTCTACAATGCCCGAGCGCTCCTGACACATCAACGCCATCAAYGCTGTCAACTTGAAATTTGACAAAAATAATTTTCACGCAGCCAGTGCGGGACACCCTCACGCATCTTATTATTCGTTCAGATTTGCAGAGGTATCAGTGTGGGATGTTTAGCTCATGTTCTCATGCACACAGATCCCAGCAAAGGTAGCTACACGTCTGGTTTCCCAGCGAGTAGCTCAGGAACCAAAATYGCCACCGTCTCCGCTGCACAGGGCAGTCAGCCACGACCCCAGCGCTGCAGCCTGCAGACACACAGCAGACTGCACGTCCCATGTCCAAATCCCATTTCCTCCCGGCAGGACAAGGCAGGCCGGTGCTTTGTGGCGAAGCAAAGGGAGACGCTCTAATGGATGCCGTGGGGTCTGCTAGAAGCAGGCCCACCGCTCCAGGTGCTGCGAGTGCGGGTTTGGCCACCGCCAAGGCCAAGGCTGCGCTGCTCGGGAGCCTGCTCCTCACCCCACTGCCCTGAAAAGAGTCAAGAAAGGGAGCTATATTCTAAAATATCTTAGCTAAACTACCTTAAAAATCCCAGTGTGAATASAGCAAGCTATTATTTTAACACGTTTGGGCTAAATGCCGTAGCCTTTGCTGTGACCAACTAAAACTTGCTGGACCTGCAAGTTTTACTATCTGAAATCAGGTTTTAACACACATTAGCTAATACATCCTTTATCCTTTTGATACAGATTTCACCTGCCTGCCCTGTAATCTCTCAGTGCTATACAAAAATAAATTGCCTAGAGAGCAAGCTAAGGAAAGACTACCTAGAAGACAGCAAAGGAAAATTACTAAACCAAAGGACTACAAAAACATATGTTATGTGTTTAACTTTGCATGTGTGAGACATGTTTTCCTACATTCAATGGCAATATTTAGAAGGACTGAATCTACAGCCTTCACAATGCAGCTGGATGAGAATAGTAAGGAGAGACGAACACCGGTCTATGGAATTTAAAGCACACTGACACAATGTGATCGTGTCTACTAGGAGCACAAAACCAGGGAGCAGGTCACCCCCAAATCCATCGCTCGTGCTGCCAAACTGCACAATAAGCTGCAATGAGACATATTCTGGATTTGGCTGCCGGCAAAARCACAAATGAGAAACGTTTCAGTAGCCAGGAAATACAGGGTACCACTGCCATGGCTCACACTGCTTCAATAAACCGAGGCGGAACTTCCCTATGAAAATGTATTTAGATGTCCTTTGGGGGCAGCCTGTGTATTACTCTGAAATGTGAGGAATATTATTTCTACAGTATGATACAAGGCTGGAATACAGTATGAGAAGGAGATTCTTGGAGAAGTGATAGAGAAACCAAGGGCCACGTTTGTGCCAACCTACTCTAGGTGAAGACAGAAGTGATCCTGGGGTGAAGGAGAGAGATAATCTGGTTGCTCAGATTTACAGCGACCCACATTTATACACTGCTACTTTTCAGCGCCTCCCTGCACGTTCATGAAGTGTGCACACAAGCAAGAACAGAGGTGACACATAATACTGACCGGTCCAAGAAAATCCTGCTTTTTACCTCGAACCATTTCTTCTGAACACTGGTTTTCCTGTTTTAGTGCCATGTTCCTGTCACTAATTAGAGGCCAATCAACATACCTACGTCTGTGCTGCAAGGTACCCGTGCCAGCTGCGACGTTTCAAGCACATGTAACTAAAGCTCTGGTGGGGATCCCCATTAAAATCATTGAGCAAAAGCACACAAAACTTGCTTAATTCAACATGTCATCCTTTTAAAGCCTGGGCACCTCGCTTCAACAAGTATTCTAGAAAGCTGCTTTCAAGGCTGGAACTAACTGCCATATTCATAACAATGTTCTTTCCTATTACCAATTGGCACTGATTTCCACCATTTAACAGTTAACAGCCGGAGCATGATAAATATCAGTATTTTTCTCATTTGTTTTAAATACTGCTTGTGGTTGTACTGTTTTTCTGTTTGGCTTTGATCTTTTTTTTCCCCTTCTTCACTTTTAGAACAATTGCTTTATCATACTATTTATTTTCTTTATTTAAAACAGATGTCCCTTTATTTATCAACTCACATAACATAATCCCTATTGTAAAAAACAAGTGCAATCACTATCAATATCAAGTACATCAAAACACGAACTATTCTCTCTGCCTCAAAGTGAGCAAAAAGTTAAACACCTCAGAATGTTTGCAGCAATAAATCAGATATTTCCCCTACAAACTACCAATCTGCAATGTTGTTACAAAAACAGCAATTATAATTCTTGGATGACTGAACGAGGCTGTTTATGTAGTTATTCCACTTGGTGCAGCACTGGGGAGGTCTTCGGTAACGAGATTACAGATTGGGACACTGTATTTTGGAGAGAGCCAGAGAAGATGAACAAGAAGATGAACAAGATGAATAACCAATTTAAGGAAACATGACTTAGGTGCAAGAGCTTGGTTTTATTAGATTAAAAAAGTTGTCGGAGGGAAACTGTCACACACATGTGATAACAGTCTCCGCATCTGTAAAAGGCTGATGGCAGAAGCAGATAAACCATTTTCCCCGTGCCTGCCGAAGGTGGAGGTGTGGCCACCTCAATGCACACGAAACCTTCCACAGGAAGGATCGCCAGGAACCTCCATCTAGGTTCCTATGGAACTGTGGATCACGCACCTATGGAACCGTGCACCATGACCACCGCTGCCACAGAGAGGCCTTACAAAACCACCAGTTCTCTGGGTTTCCAGCCTGGCGGGCTACCAAATGAGGACCAAACATTCAAAAAGGGATTTTGTTCGTGTCACATCATCCCCAGGCTGAGCAGGCCCCAAAGCTACAAGGTGCCCCATGTACGAGAGTGCCCCAACTGCCCCGTGCTGCCCCCGCGGGGCCCTCGGCCCGCTGGGCACCGCTGGCCGGGCCGGCCGGCGCGCACCGGCAAGGGCTGCTCCTCATCCCCCCAGACAGGCCCTCTGACCGGCCTCCGAAGAGAATCCGTGCAGATTTGCAGGCAAAAATTACTACTTCATGGAGTAACACCTACCACACTTCGACCTGGGCTGTCTGTCACTGGTGCCTGTGGCTAGTACTGGAGTTTGGGAGAGATTTCCATCCTAAAAAATACTCAGTATTTTTTATACAGTATCATACACAATCATACATAGAGAATGATACAATCAATCATACAAATATAAAATAGAGTATCATACACAATCACCCACAGGCCACTGCTGTTGCAAAAGCTCTTGAAAGCAGGGAAATACAAGACCAGTTGTTTTAAAATATGTTAAATTGAAGGTCTGAGGGAAGGGCATAAAGGGAATTTATCTAACGTCTGTATTAAATTTCCATTATTATAGAAAATTTATTTCTTTAGTGAACAAAGTTCCATCTCCAGGTGAGGAGGAACTGCTTTCCTGTGAGGATGACAGAGCCCTGGCACAGGCTGCTCAGGGAGGTTGTGGAGTCTCCTTCTCTGGAGATCTTCCAAAYCCGCCTGGATGCCGCCCTGTGCCCCGTGCTCTGGGKGTCCCTGCTGGAGCAGGGSGTTGGACTAGATAATCTGTAGAGGTCCCTCCCAACCTCAGCCATTCTGTGATTCCGTGATTCAAAATTCAGAGAATATACTTAATACTGCATGTTTCTGTTATTAGAAATAGGTGCTTGTCATTTCCTTTAACAACAACAGCAGAAAACCCACAGATATGCCCAAGCCATATTCACAGACAGGGCTGCAAAAAGCTTATTCAGAGATGTCAATTATCAGACAGAACCAAACCTTTGGGAAAACAGCACTAGACACCTCACTCCATATGGAAGTTTCTCCAGAAGATATTGGTGGTAATAGGGCCTAATTGATTTCCAGCCAAACAATTTTCAGCTCTACCTGGAAGAAGATGGCTTAGGGCCCATATGAAAATGTCATTTTCCTATTACAAGCAGTGCTTGTTTCTGCTATCCCTGCATTAGATAAAGCATTCCCAAAAGCAGAATTTTAATCTTCTTTAAAGAAAATGTTGAGGTAATACTGTGCCATGATGTATGACAGGAAATCAACATAGTAAGAGCAAATCTATTGTATTTGAAAACCAGAAGCATTATTGGAAAATTACTCCTCCCACCAGAGAGCTGGACTGTGATCCAGAAATAAATAATAGCAGAACAGGAAAAACAAAAAGCCTGATTTCAATGTGCATCGCTGAGGACAGAGCACTGAGAGGGTAATTCCAGTGATAAGCCCTATCACTCTGTGTGAGTATTTATACACCRAAGTGTAGCAACTAAAGCTATTTTTAATATGTACCAGAAAAAGCTCAGTGACCTACGAAGTGATGCTGATCTCATCAGGAAAAATTATTTGATTAGTAGCGATGTTGACTGCAAACATTATGAGTGTCTTAATAGCATATAAAACCTGACAAACTGACAGAGCACAAAACATCTTTTGAACCTTGGCAAACAAATTGCTTTGGCATTTGTCATATGAAGCTGTCTGGCGCAAAAGCCCGTGTGGTGCGTACGACTGCAACCCTGCATCAATACCTGCAGCACAGACTCCTCCCTTCCCTCCACACAACTACAGCCGTCCAGAATTAGAAACCTAAGGAGAGCACGTTACCAATGAGCGCTGGGTCAGAGAAAAATGTGCTTTTTTTCTCTGCTTCATGCCCCCCCCRGGTGACACGCACGTTTGTGAGGTAGGGGACGCACTGCACGCGCACAGAGGCTCCCGAAGAGCAAGTACTTACAGCTAAAGATGCCTGGAGGTGGATGCTCTGTTACGAGCAGACAGTTCTCTTCATCACTGTTATCCCCACAGTCATTCTGTTGGTTACAAATCAGTGAACCAAGATACAAGCATTTACCACTGGCGCAGGTGAATTTGCACTCTGAAAGGCAAAGGAGAAAACAAAATTTGTAAGGACATCGGTGCTTACCTTCCTCACCACTGGAATAATAGTTAAAAGCAGTGAATTATTTTTCAAGTGGATGCCATAAGAGTAGAAAGATATTGGTACTTTATGACCAAAATAAATAATGCAGCAGTTTCAAGCGTTGCAAGTGTAGATGTTATCCAACTATCCATGTCACATTTCAGACCACTGGAACCAATGCACTAGTAAACCAGTTTTGTTGTCTGGGGAAACCCAACTTGTGATGCTTGTACTCACACACACACACACACACACACACACAAACAGCAAAAAAAAAAAAAAAGAAGAAAGAAAAAGAAAAGAGAAATTCCAGGTCACGTTGTTCACAATTTGCTCTAGACAGGGACTGTGTGTTCTCACATGTCTGTGTAGCACCTCGCGTATTTGGGACAAGCCAAAGCTATGAAAGAATCAAACACTTGCCCCACATAAGAAAGGACTTGCACCACGTAACACAGCCGCAGTTGTTCGGCAGCGAGGGAGTCTGCAGCAATCCCGTCCAGACACAGCCAATTATTCCTTAACTCCCCTCCCAGAGCCAATTTGCCAGTCTCCCAGCTAATTGCCATCAAGCCCGCCGCGCCTGCACGCGCAGCTCCCACAGGCCGGTTTGCTTTGCAGACTCCGTGAACTTCTGAAGCCTCTGGAAACCGCCTGGACGCTACAGGCAGCCAGGCTGCAGCTGCTCCAACTTGCTCATCACGAGGAAACCAGTGATCTCCCCTACCCACGATTCCGCCAGCAGGAACAATCCACACGCGAGCAAGCGCTGAAACAAGAAGCTCTGGTCCCTGGGCTTCCTTCCTGGCGCTCTCCTGCCCAGCTCCGGGTGCAGAAGGACCCGGCGCGTGTGCCGAGTGCCGAGCAAGGCACCACACGAGACCAAGCTCTGTCTTTTAGCACGAGTGTGGAAGGAAACAGCCTCGCTGCATCCGTCCGACAGGTCTCACCCCGCGAGCAGAGCCAGGCGGGCGCGTGCTCTGCCCGCCCCTCCATCCCTGCCCTGCTGCTTGCTGATAGAGATGCAGAGCGTGGCACCAGCCGGGGCGTGCGAGGGGAAACACCAGCCAGTGCCTACTCATTTGGGTGGTTTTTCTTTGATTGGCAGTCGGCAAACTTTCAATCTCACCTGATTGTCTTCTGTCTGAAACAGTAATATGCAACATGCTGGTATCTCAGAAGGGCAGTATTTACTTGGGATGCCTTCTCTACTTGACCATGAGAATTCCCTTGCCCTCCAGCCCTCCAGCTTCCACAAACGAGGCCAAACAGTGTCCTTTTTGAGGTGCAATTGAGAAATATTCACAAAAATATAAACACAACAGCAAAGCTTTCTTGCTAAGTTCGTTCCAATGATAAATATGCTACAGATCCAGAATTGAGGACACGCTGTATCTAGAAAAATTACAGTGTAAAGATCACACTTCCAGGACGYTGACAACTTCTCCTGGGCGCCAGGTTGCATTCGCAAGCAATGGGAAAGTGGAGGGAATTCAGTTCAAGGACCAGGCTCAAGTATTTTATTTAAAATAGTTCCACTTCCTGACCCCTGGGCTCAGTGTGGGCTGCCTGGCTGTGCTTAACAGAGAGATGATCTCTGGATCTTTAGCAGGGAGCTCGTACCAGGTAGGTCATGTTCAAGACCATTAATAAGAGACTTTACATTAATCTTAATAGTATGYGGACTGGGCTGAAGCCAAACTGAGAAAACAGGACCTGTAATTCTAAAAAGCACTTACAGAGCTTGGTATTTTCAGCTAAGGAGCATGGTATTTTCAGGTCTGTATCTTGTCGGCAACATAAGCAAGGAACAGCATAGGGGGAAATAAAAATAAAGAGTATGAAATCATTTCTCTTGACACATTTATTTTGTAGATAAAAGTGATTTGTGGACTTCACTCCAAAATCTTTTCATCAACAGTATTAATAGCATTTTGGTTCACATACCAGCAAGAATCTGCTCAGGTAAAATATATGCAGCAACATGTGCAACATATAAAATACTACTTAGGAATAAAAATAAAAACCATAAAATACTACTTTAGAAAAACAAGCACTTGCCCTATACTTTCAAGTACATCGTTCTACTGCACTGGCTCAAATCTTACTTAATTGAACTGYATTTAAAAATCAGTAAGTATTTTGCCCAAATGACATCCTCAAGATTCAGGCTTTTTCAGTCCAACCCTGCAGTACTTAAACAGTTCACATTGTACAACAAAATAATGTATCCCCYAAAAAACAAAAATTGTTCTCCTTTTGCTTTGTCCCACATTCCTCCAATGAGGAGGAAGCAACGAGCCATTAAAGCGCAGTTTTCTGTTTTTCCCAATAGAATTAAAAAAARGGAGAGAACGTCTTTGAAATGCAAGGAACTAAGAAGGTCATTAACACTTACTTTTGCAAAAGAGACTTAAAGATTGGCCTCAATATTAACTATCCGATAATTACAGCACTTTAGGACTCATTTTTCAACTTTGGACATTAAGAAACTGTAACAAGAAAAGAAAAAAAAAAAGAAAGAAAAAGCTGCTTTGGAAGACTTGGAAAAGCTGGCTTGAAAGGATTCAACATTTGCAGATACATTTTAAATGAGTGTAACACAAAGGCAGAGGGAAACACTATAAAGTAAACATAAAATGCCAATACCTTCTGAAAACTGGTGTGATAAAGGACATGCTGCTTCTGTTTGAAAGACAAACATCAAACACTGCACTGCTTGAAGCTAAAGCACTCAGCATGTCACTTTAGCCAAAATACTCAATTCTTTCCCAGTGTCTTCATGTTGATATCTAGCGTGAAGTTCTCCACAGTTCCCCAATGACTGGTGTAAAACACAGAAGCAAGATGTCAACTAAGATCCAGAATCAAATTTTCTTGTAAAACTCAATGCCTCCTTCTTCCCTCCCTTCCTCAACAGATGAACATTGCCATCAGTAAAGTGAATAAAAAAGCATCCACAGGCTTTCCTGCCCTGTTACATCCCTGTATTGACAAGATGRTTGTTCCCTGTAATACTTTTGTTGCTTTTAAAGCAGTCTGTCTGGTCAAAACCATCTTGCATTGTGATCTCCCTCCAGATCCACTTGCCAAAAGAGCAGTCCTGCTGTGCCCGTTCACAAGCCCTATCAGCCCCAGGACAAATCTCACCTAGGAGGAACAAAAAGTTGACAAAAAGATGTCCCAAAACATGTTAAGACCATACATGTGTGTGCATATATATATATATATATATATATATATATATATGCATCAGGTCCTGCTGAAGGCCAGAAGTGTCCTGCAAGGGGCAGGCTAGGAGCGCAGTGACAGCAGCTCTCCATGACCTTCAGTCACCACCACCCAAGGCTAATGCAGGGCAGCCCTTCCCATGTCCTCCATCTCACACTGCCCAGAGAAAAGCAGGGAAACCCAGAAACTTTGCAAGCATTTAAAAATGGTTTCTCTATTGAGTTATAGCTCCCTAGCCCTTCCTTTAACTGTAGGATTGATATAGAAAGACACAGTACAGATGTTAATGACCACGCTGGCTGCAGATGCCCTCTTAASAGAATTTAATATCTGATGGAGGACAGAACAGGGCAAAACTTAACCTGCATAACCATGGGCTATGGCAATCTAGAAGAATTGCTCTAAGGAAAAGAGTGCTCAGGAACGGGACAAATGAGTTAAACAGATGATTCCACAAAAAATACAGGTACTTTCCAACAGGCAACATACCTGGTGTTAGGTATATCTGACTTACAAACTATAACTCAGTAGCTCACAGTGGTTTGCACAGTGGATGCATGCTGGCAGCGTGTGCCTGTGCTAAAACCAGAGAAGAAGCCTTTGTTCCAAAGCGAGGCGGATTAAAGCCAGCTTGATGCAGAGAGCAGAAAGCAAATACTGGAGTACTGTCAAAATGCATGTTAGTAAATAAAGCTGCGCATTACCAGGAGTGACCTCAAAACGCCCTGGCAGGGAAACCCAGACCCGTCCAGACTAGCCGCGTGAGCCTAACAACAGAGCCGAGAGCTCTTCTCAATGCGAGGGCTTGTGCTCGGCTTGTCTAGACGAGAGGAGGGGGGAAAGCTCCAGCGCTGAAAGCCAGCCAGCACCATCACTCTTTCATAAATAACTTTTCAAAGCCAGGCAATTTTCCCCTTCATTTTCAAGTGGCAATTAGTGAAACATCAGTAGCTTGGTCAGCAAGGCTCTGACTGCAGCTCAACCTGAAGCAAGATGATAGCTACTGGATTATTATTAAAAAAAAAGAAAAAAGAAGAAAAAAGAGCCCTTCTTATTATGYTTCTGATTGTCTACAGCAGAATTTTAAAATATATCTCGCTAATAAAGTGACTCGGGCAAAGGATGTTTTTAAAAAAACTGTGTCCAGATAGAAGTCGTCTGCCTTGAAAAAAGGGAATACTGAGCATACCATTTCCTATGTATTGCCTATTTTTAGACACTGCATGTAACTAGCAATCAAGAGCACATTTCTCAAATGTTCAAGGTAGATGCTTTCATGTATGAACTCTCTACACAGAAACACCCGTTAATACATGACTAAAAGTATTTAAAAYCATTAAAAGAAGGTTATGTTTCAGCTGCAGTGCAAAAGATGTTTGCCTCACACTACAAAAAACACCATGTTTTATTGTGATTATTCTTTATTGCAAAAGGCAAGATCCTCTCTATTGTGGACGCTTCTTTTACACTTTCTGTGCCTATCCAACAAGATAATTTTATCCCTGCATTCCCCTTAATTCTTTTAGACTTCACTTACACTTGACTTCATACATATGAGCAGTGTTCCTATTGTTTTGTCATCCCGCTTACTGTAGGGCATCTTTAATTATAGCTAAGTGCTGTTTGTTTTTGTAATATAAGTCCAACCACAGGCCAAAAGAAAAAAGAAAAAAAAATGGAGGAAGTGTCATATTGAAAAAATATGGTGTTTCAGGCCCGTGTTA